AATGTGATTGATGATAGCACATTTAAAAAAGTCAAAAAGAAGGAAACGCTATCGTTTCTCTTATCTATACTGAAATTGAAGAAATAGCATGAGCAACATGTTAAAATCGAATAAATTCTTACACATCTACATTATATATACATGGATATTTTTTTATCTCTCATAAGTTTATTGCATGACGATTTATCATCAGTATTATCGACAAATCTAGATAATTCTGTCAACAATTCATTAAAATTCCTTCTTAATCTGCGCACATAGCTGCGATATAACGTATTTATTTATTAATCGCAGATGTATATATTTCATTTCAAAACAAATAGTGAATATTTTATGCTAAAAAATAAAAAAAAATGCGATTGCTTATTTTCCAAATTGCAGATTATATAAATCCAATTTGAAATGCTAGAATACTAATAGGTATATATTAAATTAAAACGTCTTAAATTAATACAAACATCAGGTTTTAATGTTGTACTCTAATAAAAATTAATTTTTTTCTTTTTCTTTCTCTATTATTTATCTGATAAATCTGTAAGAAAGATTACAAATGTCCGTCATGTATAACGATGTGCACGAATCGTTATCGCGGTGAAAAGCACATAACGTATCTTCTGGGAAAGATAGTTTTCCCGAGTTTACGCAGATACGCGTAGAAAAAAAAAACGACCGGCCAGAAGACCCGGACGCGGGATTCCCCCAATGGCATCAATAAATCAGTTCTCGCGCGATTCGTCGTTTAACGACACAATGAGAGCTGAGAAAACTGTTCCGCGCCATGACAGGGTATGTCATTACTGCATTACTTATAAAGCCCCTTCGCGGCCACGCCACGCATGCCGCATACGAATGAAACCGCATCGCGATCTCTCTCTCGCGGCGGCTATTACAAAACCTATGGAAAAAGCGACCTATCCGGCACGTCACGTATGCAAGGATACGATCGAGAGTCCGGCCATTGCGGCTCTTAATCGAGCATTAATATGCACGTTGAATATTGATCAGTCGATCCGTGGAAAATGTGTTTCTTTCGCGCCTGGAATCCGCCTGTGTTTTCATCATCGAGAACATTGCGGATGTTCTCGAGGGAAAACCATAATCTGCTCAAGAAGATCGTAGTCACATGGTTTTAATCGAAACTACTATATATTCTCATAAACGACGAATCATGATTCAACTATGCTTGAAGCTGTTGAAGAAATTTAAAACGTGAAATCCAAGTCAATAAATATTTTCTACGAAATCTGGCAAAAGTTTTAACGAGATTTCGAAGTTTCACCAATCTCGAAATAAAAGAACTTGCCTTTATCTCGCCGTTGCGCGTTGGCACAGAACATAATACATGCTCGCTCAGGGCATGTATTATGGAACTTTTCGGAATGGATTCCAATCGGAATCTTATTGTTTAGTTATTTCCTAGATTTCTATTATGTTTTCTAGGGCAAACGGAATAATTCCGATCGGAATCCATTCCGAACAGTTTCATAATACGTGTCGAGGGATATACTTTGCGTAAAAAGTGCGTCCAAGACTAGTCGAAGAGTCGTCCTTCCGCGTATCCTTTCGAGCAACGTCTCGGGATGTGTCGAGAAATCCCAACGAAATGGCGATGTCATCGTCGCCCCGGCCGACACCTATCCCATAAATAATCTCGACATCGAAATTCGTTTGACGGATCCATCGATCGACGATGAGTTTTTCCCCCACCTGCTTCTCTGTTATCCCTGTCCGACGCGTCCAACGCGTCGACGATGATAGTGTGTCGATGTTGTACATGGCGAGTGTAGCTGTCGTCGCGGTAGTATCCCGTCGGACAGGTTATAGACGCCCTTCGACGCCCGGCAAACACGCCGTTTCTTCAAGCAAGTAGAAGACCGAGCCGCCGATCCTATCCGTAATGTTCACATGTCCGCGAACTCGACCAGCAGCGGGCACCCAACCGGCGTTGAAGCCCTCGCCAAGAGGAAGAAGCGAGTCGGCGTTCAGGGGGGGGGTCAAAGACGGGTTAAACGGACCATCATACCATTGTTTCCGCCGCCAAACACGTATAACATCCGGACCTACCAAAATCCTTCGACCTCCCACTCTCCTCAACTCGAGGACACCGCCTCGAGAAACAAAACTGTCCGGAAAAATATGAGTCCTCGTGTACTGGCGAGCAATAACCACTTGGTAGATACATAGGATGCCATAGAAGTATCACTGAGAGATCGATAATCCAGCTTACGTCGAGACAATGATAATTTTTTAAATGTCTGATAACGAAAACGTTGCGACAGATTGACTTTTTGATAAGCAGATGGACAATAAAAGTATATTTTCAATCCTGAAACAAAGGCCTGCGATTATCAAGATATTTAATATTGATCCAAGATTACACGAAGAAGTACAGTATACAATTAAAGAAGACAAAAAGATGCTAGTTCTGAAACACCCTTTAGAATATATATAAAAATGATCTCAATAGATATTGTCCCGCTGGAAGTTTTCCAACCGTATAGACGACTTTCTGGATCAATAAACTTTTTAATGATATCTCGAACTTCGGGATGTAAACAGTGAAAATTACTTCTGCAACGTATTGAAGAAGAATAAAAAAAAGTCTCTAAAATTGTCTAAATTGAAATAAAATGCAGCTTATTTTAAGTTGAGTTATATCACGTGCAATAGTCCTATTGCTCGATTTTGAGCGTCGTGATTCCTACTGCATATATTTGGATCAGATATACTACATAACGTAATAATTATAGCCACGATAGCCATCAATAATTATAGCCACGAGATTCACGCAATGCATACATAATTATGTTATAATCATTATTCCAAATGATATATTCTCTTTCTCTCTTAAAACTTGTTCTTATAACTAATAATAATTAAGAAAATAAATTCTATTATTGTTGTTTATGATTATAATAGCAATTTTTATTTACTTACAGCAAAGAATATTATAGAAAACTTCTCTTGTGTGTGCAAAGAGATAAAAATTACAAATATAAACAAATAAATTTTGAAAAATGTTTAGATAAGAAATGCGCTTGTGCAATATTAGCGGCTTTTTATTAAGATTAATTTTATTATCTAATACAAATGCAATTATCTAATCGTTCTAAGTAAAAAGTATTATTGATAAGAGTATTCATTACTTTAATTAATTTCGAAGTTTCACCAATCTCGAAATGAAAGAACACGTCTTTGTCTCGCTGTTATGTTTTCGTAATTAATTAAACTAAAGTTGTCATTACGGATAGAGATAATTGTCAAAACAATATTAAGAAGATTGCATTGTGACATTAGTTATCGTTGTGATAAGAACATGACAAAGCGAGTCATATAAGGCATTTTCAATAAAGAATATTTGAAGCTTCGTGATGTCTCTTTGCTCTAAGTTTCTTTTTATGCTCCGAAGTTTTATAGTTTTGAAAACCAGTCTTTTTTACTTTACGCTTATGCTTCAATTAGAAAAGTAGGACTTGTACTTTTCACATTCTATCACAAAAGAAAGGGATCACGTAACTATAATTTTGTGATGCGTTTGTTAATTTAAACGCAAATACATCAAACGATGTACGAAAAAATGGAGCAGACGCTCTCTCAAATCGCTCTGGCATGCACTATCTTACATATTTATGGCAGATTTAATGAGCGCTGTTACTAAATGCATTTGAAGGAATCTGCGATCGAGCAAACTGTTCAATAACATGAAACTACTCTGGGTGCTCGCCACGAGAATTAAAAATTATGTCGCAATCATTCATAAACGTCTCTGCCAGGATATTTCTTTATGGTACGTTTTGCTCGGTAGAAATTGTTATCCATTTTAAATAATGAGCAGTAATATTTATAACTTTATAATTCTGAGCATTTTATGAAGAGAAAGCATGTTTGATAATTAATTAATATTAGAATGGAAAGAATGCTTGTATTTTTTTTTATATCTAGTTTTCCTTGTTTAGTCGTTTGGAATTGCTTCATATTCATTGATTCAGTAATTACCGGCGTACAAATTGCGCCATAAGAGATATCAGATTTCTACAAATAAAAATTGCAGACTTTCCGCTTTTCCGTGCCGATTGCTTTCACGCGTGGGCAAATTTTTACTCGCCGCGGTAATGCAAATCTTAAAACTTACTCCTCTCTCGCGAGTTTGTTCCTCCTCCACGCTTTCTATTACTTTCTATATCGCGTTGAGGATCTTTCGCGCGCGTCGCGTCGTCGCCGCCTCAGCCGGACAGATATACCGGCGTTAAATAATTTCCGCGCGGGAACGGAAAGTACTTTAAGCCGGCGCTATCTGCGGGTTGCGCCAACAAAAGAACGAGGGGAATCGTTCGACAAGAAACCGATGAAGGGTTTATCTTAATCCACGGTTCACCGAGTAGACGAGCTCCGCGCCAATACCCCTGGGCCACCCCTTTCATCGTTTATGCCCGCCCTCTCGCACGTAACCGATCACACTTCGTTTGTTTTACTATAGATATTTTTTTGTTATCTGGACCACTTATAATCGCGGCCGCGTTTGTAACGAGCCGGATAGCACAGTCGCCGTTCTACCAGCTTCTATATTTATCACAATGTTTTTATTTCAATCAATCGTTTCTTTCTTTCGCCTACTTTCCGACGAATTGTAATATATTTCTATTCAATTTATATTTATCATACTTCAATGTTTCTCGAACTTGAACACATTATTCTTCGCCGTAGTTTAACAGAAGACATCGAGAAACATTTTACGCAATTAAAGCGGCATTGCAGTCGCGATAATACTAATAACGGTGCTTCCGAGAGTTAGCATAAAAAAAAATAAAGCCTGCTTAAATGTTCTGTATCGCAGACCACTTCCGGAGACCTCCGATTCTGCATTCTGGGTAAAAACACTTAACGAAGTTATTGGACGTCTTCGGGCCGGCGCGGCGCGGCCGCAGGATACCGTTAACAAAAACGCGGAACGTCGGCGAGCGACGAAGAAGCGATGGCGGCTTGAAATAGAACGAACAACCGGCCGGTCGATCGGTCGATAGTCTCGCGCGATCGGTTGACGTTTTCCTGGAACGTTACCATTTCACACTCGCGGGTGGTAGAGACAAAAATCCAGGAGAGGGAAAGTCTGACGAATCGATTCGAAAGGATGTCATCATAGTCGAGACTGTGGATGGGCGCAAACACCTGTAACACCGTGTTCACGGCGTCACGTGCCCGGGTGTTGCCGTGACGAAAGTCCCGATGATCGTGCAAAAACCGGCACGGGGATAAAAAGCCGATCGGGCTCGCGCTGTTCGGAAGCCTGGGGGTTCCCCGCCGGTGAGCGCGCCATGAGAAACGTTAAAGCGAGAATTTGTCATTAGATCGTGAGATTTGCGGTTAGATGATGCGCAATCCGATATAGTTCTTGCTTCGGTGATTCTTAGTCAATCGTTTATCGCTTTTCTCGTCGTTGTAGCGTAAGTAAATCGATTACGGTTTGCTCGCTATTTTTCGTCTACGCGAAACAATATTATGCCAAGAGATAAGAATTACCAGTAATATTTAATTCTCACGCACAGGCCCGACCGACGACTTCATCTCGTGTAAGCGAATTGAAAAGTGTCCCATCGGCTTGTCGAGCGACCAGCGAACCTTCATGGTGTACACGTTAAGTACTCCCAGATCGGACAAGCGTGCGCATACTCGATTCTCTTGATCAGATACATAGTCAGCATGACTCCGCGATCCGCACCCTCGACCACCGACGGTGTCCCGCTGACTATTTATCTTGTTACATCGAAGTGATCCGATTCTAACAGGAGATCAATGACGGCCGCCGACCACCGTCGGCTACCCGGCTTCTTGTTGCGTACGATTCCTTGCGGAAATGTAACGATGGTACACAAGAAGCTTTTCCGTATAAATTGAAAAGCAGCCGTACTATCTTGTATTTCCTGCAAGAGAAAGAATATGTTATTTGATTATAGAATTTAAATGTTACATAAAGCAAATATCAAACAAACCGGGATAAGTTACTACATGATATACATGACTTGGCTTTCTCATTGTATTCTGATTTGAGTGTGCACGCTATAAAGCGAAGATGATTAAATTGGATATAATTAATCGCGGAACATTCAGAATGTATAAAAGTGTATCTTGTTCGATATCCTTTCGCTGGACAAGCAGTCGGATACAACGCAACCGATTGAATAATGCCGATGGCAATGAATCAATAATGCAGGAACAAACTTTCCTGCAATGGGCGTATAACGTGCTAGTGGACACTTAAGCGAGGCGACAGAGGCACGTCTTGGGCCATGTGTTACCTAATAATTGCGTTCTGTAGTCGCCCAACAAATATTTATTGCTACTTACCGGTCGGTGAATGTAAACGGGTCGGACCACTCTAATGGAGAACACCTAATTTCGCCCACGCGGTCGCAATCGAGCCGCTTCGTGTTTGAGAAAATTAATTCGATTCGTGGGTCCATTCTCTGATAATAACGTCGCCGGAGATATTGTCGTGAGTCATCACCGGAGCCATTCTGAAATATATACGAAAGATATATAATAGCGATCGCGCGTTATGCAATCAATTTTTTTCATACTCCGAGAAAGTTCTTTGCAGTAGGAAACGATAATTTTTGACGTAATAAATGTTTTGTATTAAGTTTTCTCTGTATCTTATTATTAACATCAGCTGTTCGATTTATTTGCGATGCCGTGGGCGAAGCATGATATGTGCCGCATTGACTTCAATTATCGACGAACGAGACAATTTCCTTTGGACGCTAATCAACCAACAGCGTCAGGGAAAAGTACACGACGGGTCAGGATAATATGGATAAACGACGACGAAAATGCTAGGGCGGATAGTAGCAAGAACCGGAACGCATGTCAGCTCGTCATCATCGCCGAAACGTCAGTAGGTGTTTGGCCAGGTCGCTAATGTAATATTGTTTGCAGGAGTATCGGATGTAGACAGCAAGTAACTCGGGAAAAATCGTTAAGGAAGTCTCTAAAGCTTATGGTCAACGCTGTATTTCTAATCCTTAAAAGATAAAAATATACAGGACATTCTTATAGAATATATTTTTAACATATAGAAATTATATATTTACAGATATGATTTTATGTTTGTATAACATATCTATTTTCTATTGAAAATTTAGATGACAAAAATAAATAACTATATATGAATGTCTGTAGCGATAAATATAACGATAATATTTTAATAATTATCGTGCGTGATACTTTGCGTCCACACTACCGAGCGCCATAAAATGCAACCTGGTGGAGTCGGCAAATTGCGTTTTCCGCGGACGTTGGCGCGTATTCCCGCTGTGCTCATCGTCCCATCTAATTTACACGGATACGATATGTTCCGATTAATCGCCGGTTACACCGGCGCGAATTAACTTATCGTTCGCGTTTGGCCCGAGCGCTGCATCACTCGCGCTGCAACCGGCCCGCGATGCAACCATCTCGCGTCGCATACCGTTCGTTGGGAGCATTGCGAATCTGGCATAATACGTGGAAATCATAAATATAATCGACCAAGTGGGAGCGTGCACCGGGCATAAATTGCTCTCGCATTAACGAGATTCGAACCCGCGTGCAACATTCCCTCGAGTATGCGTTTCCCCGATTCCAAAGAAAAGGAGCAACGGCTCGTTAGTCGCTATTGAGCGTGTGCTTGTGTCAAACCTGTTTTCTGTTCCTCCGCTAATCGCAGAGGGTTCATTAAACGAGTAAACTTTGTCTTGATATTAAACAGTTGACACTTGCACGGTTGTGCACTTGAGCCGAAGTCAAGCGTACTATTACGTTACTCAAATATTACTTCATCGTCATATATAATTACGTTTATTATGAACAGAAAGTTGCCGCATTATTAAATAATAATTTATGTTTCAAAAATAAATTACGGATATGAGTAGAAATCCGAGACAATGTCCGTTTGCAATTTATAAATGAGAAATATTTCTTTGTCAAACCTGCTGTGATGAAAGAGAGAGAATATTATAGATTAGAACTTTAATACTTTCTTACTGTTGCGTTGGATTGATAATGTATACAGTTGTATGTTGTATATATATATATATATATATATATTTATGGAGGCATAGAAGCGTATCACTCTTGAAGGAAAATCGCTTCCTTGCTTCCTTGCATATGTGGTGGTTTTAATTATGATACTGACGCGCATGACAGACATTTTACTTCTCTTGACCGGCAGCTATATTGCAGCACAACACGATATATATTTCCGTTTAAGATATACTCAGATGATCTTGATAGTCGCTCGGAAACATGCTTCCGATGCGTCTAGCCGTATTGCGTGTTTCCGCGTGTTGATTTATACCGTGAAATTGTAATTATGCAAATGCCGACGGATATGATCGAGACGATCAAACTGTTTCGCGCTGCATGTGTATTCGCATCGGAGGTAGACTTGGGCCTGTTGTTTGGAGGCAGGACCAATTTGGTATATATATATATTTGCATAGATATAACAACAAAGATACTTACTGGAGCACTTTCGCGACTCGAGCACCTCCCGTCGATCGCATTAAACCCGTGAACTGCAGCATTGATCAACATCAGCGACGGATTCTCGTCACGGCGCGATCGCGAGGTCGTTTCTTCTGTTCGCCGGCCAGTTAATGGCTCCGTTTCTTTCCTATGCCGATCCGTCATTGACTTCCGAACGTGTCCGCGGCCAACCGTTTCGCGACGCCGTAACTCGTGCCAATCGACAGCAGATTTGCGTGACCGTGACGCAAAATGCACCACGGTGCCTCCCACTTCGTTCGATTTTTGCGGCACGGCATTTTAATGTCTCCTCGCGGCGCACGGTGATCCAGCCATCGTTTCGTTCTCTGTAATTTGTCGTCTCGCCGACCAGTCGCGTCCTTCCACGCCGTCATTCTCATAGTTCGCACGCGTGCTGTGGATAAAACCAAATGATGCGTTAATCCATAAGGTAGCTTATAATTATATTGTATAAAAATTGTGAGAAATATATAGCTTATTGTTAATGATTTTTTTAAGTGTCTCTGATAAATATGATACGAAATGTAAAATAATTTCATTCGCGTTAATTTATTACAATTAAATAGATATTTAAAAATATCTAAAGGATTTTTCGTCATAAAATTTGTTAACATATAATGAGATCAGAAAAAGAATTATTGTAGGGATAAAACTAAACATTTACTGAATTTTATAGCATAATCGTTGTGTATAAAACAGGTATTTAGTTATTTACAAGCATGATTGAACCGAATGTAAAAACCGAAATTACTTCTCGATCGAAGTCATTGACCGTTAAAAATTAAATTACCACGTATTTTATAATCATGTTTAGCGATTAATTACGATTTCGCAGATCAGGGACCGTTCACATAGTCGAATCAAATAAATACGAAGCAACAGTTACTTTCGAACCACTTTTATCAATTTGGGCTCTTTTTAATTTATGTGATAGTTATGCGTTGATAGAATTTGTAATAATTAGCATGCATATATGGTAGCGGAAATAATATTAAAATAACAGTTTTATTTCGTTTTAGATTATATCATATACTGTTTAATTTTCACATCAAAAGCAATTATATTATTAATAATATAGTATGTATCTTTTTTATAAATTAAAAGTTAAATAAGAGAGTTTCTGAGTTTAAGAAAGAAATTAAAAATATATTAAAACATTTTTTTTAGATTATGTATTAATACTTTCAGAAAATATGAATTAACATTAATTAACATATGCAATTCAAAATTAAAAGTAACCATATAAGTGAATCTAGCTTAACAAAAATTAATGGAACATTTTACATTTTTAGTATGTGAATGTATCATGAGCTTATCTTTGATTTAATTACTTCTCGCAGACACTTCTGAGAGACCGGACACACTTAATATGCACGTTAGCCTTTTATCTTCCACTAATTTGTCTAGCAATTATTCAAATGATTGCGTGAATAATTACGCAGCACTCGCTCAGTTTACTTTTGATAAATGGTCTATCCACGATAATTATCGTAGTTTGATTAACCGTTGATTATTCAATTACGGGAAAATATTTCGTTACGCTCAATTGAGCCCTCACGCAGGTAATAAAACGGCCATTAAGTAATAACCTGTTGACATAATTACATAAAAACAAGCTAATACATATATCAATTTATAATTAAATAGAAAGCATGGGTTTTATTGATATCATTGTCAAGTATGATATCTTAATTAAAAATTAAAAAATGATTATTTAACTATTATATTCAACTCGTTGTTTAGGACAGATTATTAAAGAGCTACATAACTTTTGGACATTTGAATTATTTGCGTTATCCATGATCTTGAGTCCCAACGAAGAGACACAGTTGTCCTCGAATAATTTCGATATCATAAATAACAATTCCACGGATTTCCGGGTGGACCTCCGTTCTCCGCAAGAAACCGCAGAGACCCGGCAGGAAAGATGATTGGCGACCGGGAGGGAGAAACGAGTTTATCCGGGTGGAGCCCCCCCGCGCCTCAACCCCCCGCTGTCGAACGCGCGATGGGAATAAAATGTGAAACTGTAAATTGTGCGTGGAAAGAATCGGTCCCTGGGCGGTCGTGGCGGTCGACCATGCTTTTCGTGGAGTGGCCAGGGGGGGTGGAATGGCGGATGGGGGTGGAAAGACTGGACGGATGGCGGGAAGCAGCACGAGAACGGATCGGTTCTCGCTCGAGCACCAGGCGAGGATCTTTGGAGGATTTAAATGCGCGTTCGGGCGAACGAGACGGAGGGTGTATCACTCGTAGATTCGGGGGTTGGAAATTTGTTAGGTTACGTCGGACTATCACTCCCTAGTGAATATGAAAAAAGAATTCCTCACGAAGCTTTCAAGGGTCGACTAGGGTTGGAGGTGGTGTGTCGGTGTTCCTTGCCGACATCCCTTGCCCCCGTAAGAGGAGCGGCCCGGTTCGTGGGGATTGAGGTGATGGTTGTACGGAGGAGAGAAGCTGGTGGCCGAAGGGTAGGAGGGATGTAACATGGTGCCAGGAATATAAAGCGGGGGATAAAGGAGATGGCGGTCACATATGCGACTCGTAAAAGCTCTTCTGAAAAGCTGCATCCGTTCTGCCACCGTCCTGCCCCCTTTTTCCTCTTTTTTCGCGATTCCGTCGGAGGAAGAACCCGGCCTCCTCCATTCCAACGACGACGTGGCTTTCGCGCTTTTAACGTCGCGGTTGACCACAAAAATTTGGCTCTGGGATATGATTTAACGTGAGACAGCACGAAAAATATTCGCGTATTAATTTGATAAATTGCTCTATTCCATTACATAAAGTTTATCTTTTTTTCTCTTATGATTACCGATGCTGTATATAAAAATACATATTAAGTATCGGAATAATCAATATCATTTTACATTTCGAAAAGAGGAAGCGCACAATTAAAATATCACATTTCCTTTTTTTATGTTAAAAATAATTTTGACCAGCACAGGTATAGAAAAAGCAGATTAGCGTCTTATGCAGCATATCGCTTATGTCGTGAACAAAGCGTGACCGCTTGCATAGCCACAGGTCACAGTCCCCGAGAGCATGGCGACATTGCGTTTCTATGGGAACGTGGCTTACCCCGGTTATCTCCCGATACCGGCGAATATTAAGAAATGCCGTTCTCGAACATTCGCGGACAGAAAATGAGCCATTCGTTTGCCGATCGGAATGAGGTACTGTCTATGCATGGCACGGACGCGCCACCATCCAACCGTCCCATAAATAATCGTCCTCCTCTTTTAGCTTAAACCTCCGTGCTCTCTTTTCGGTCTCAACCCTCCTTTTTCCTTTCATCGCCCTCTCGCTTACTTTCCCTCCCTGTGTCCCTCTCGATGCGTACCTATATGTATTCGAGGATATTGTGCGAGCTTCCTAGGATAAGAAAGATACATATCCAGAATATAGCGATGTAGGAAATATAATGGAATAATGTATGGGAATATGCAATTGTATAAGACACATTCTGAAAGAAATTTGTTATGAAATTGCTAAAATTATTTATTTTTATTGTTGAATCTCTTCTTCCTAATTTTTATTTTTTGAAATATATATAAACAACATATGTACATGCGATCTATAAAATTCAATTAACCCTTTCGCCACTTGAGATAAAGAAAAAACAATTGTATTAGAAATTGTCAACATTGTCTTATTTAAAAATTGGTAAATATTTAGCAAATAAAATCTCTTTCTGAAACTTCTCTAAAAAATTTTTGCACGTATTTGCTGTAATAAAGAGAAGACGTCTATTTTGCGACATTTATTTCAAACAAACATATCGCTCCCTTTCTCTCGCGCCGTTCTTTCAACTTCCCAGACATAAATGGCGAGTTACAAAAAACACCTCGTTTTGAATGCGACTGCTTTTTGCGGTAGTACTGACCAACGCTTCCAGACAATTCTTGGCGGGTTTGTCGATCGTTTAATCGTCCATTTCCACCTGTCAGCCCGAGTCGATGGAAGCACAAAGGCGATCTCTATCCTGAGGAGAAACTCTCGCAAGAAAGCGAAGGCAACATTCGGCTAGGAGGGTTGCGGGAATGGGCAGCGAGGGAAAGAGGATGTGCGGGCTGGGCAAGAAGAAGTCTGACATTCGAGGAGTCGACAAAGATTATGAAGCGCATACTGCGGCGAATAAAAATGGTTTCCGCGGCGGGGGAGAAGCGGAAAACAGAGACATTGTTCGTTACAGGGAGTTCCTGGAGGATGCTCCGTGGGAGAATAGGAGAAAGCGTAGTCGGGGGCTGACGATAAATGTCCTACGTTTAGCGCATAACGTACAATCTTATGTAATGTTTTGTCTTAACTTATTTTCGTTCTTTATGCAGTAAGTTAAAAATCTGATCATTGTTAATTGTGTACGAGTATTCTATTTAAGAATTTTATATTTATTATTGATTATTTTTCTATTTACATTCTATTAAAATTCTATTATATATGTTACATAAAAATATGAAAAACATCAAGATTGTTTTCACTTTGTAATCGGAGATCTTCCAGAATAGATGTCACATGACTGTGCCAAGTTATCATAGCACCGTATCTAGTATCGACGCGTTATGAGCGTTTACGATTACGAGAATTAATCAGTTATAATTGCAATCCGGCCCACGCACAGAGTGAATGAATGAATCAGGGTGTACGAAAGAACAACCTGCGAAATGCAAATGACATGCAAGATTTATGTAGATTGTGGAAAGCAGATAATGGATCCTGCGTCTGAGCGATGCTCGCGAAGTGGAAAACTTAAAAATAATTAATCGTACTTAACGGTAGTGACTCGACGAGATTTAAGCCAGCAAAACGCGTTCCGCTTCCTACGCGCCAGCGCGTCGGATTACGGCAAAAATAAATAATATTTTTTATGGTGCAGGAAATTGCACACCCCACTATAATAAGTAGGCATCAAAGACGATGATTGTTAATCAAGGAACCAAATTACCAGCGGGAATATCTTCACGATCTCACGCGTCCATGTCTGATGCTGTAATTGTAGAGTATTCTAATGCGCATTGCATAGTATATTAAACGTAGGATTCGGTATTTATGAGCGCTTGCACTCTAAAAAAACTATCTAAGAGATTTATTTATATTGATTTGACATATGTATATCAGAATGCATATTCTAACAATCGCAACCTGTAGAGCTAATAAATACGTTGAAATGACTCTAACTGATATTTCCAGCAAAATGAATCAGTGATCGATCCGTGGTCGGGGGTGGCGCAAAACTGCGATTACGGACAAGGGAGAAGAGGGAGAGATGCGGTCCTGAGAGCTCGAACGACGCCAAGATCCACGCAGGGTGAGTTTTCTTGCTCGATGGACACCTTTTTCTTGCGCCGATTGTGTGCTACGTGGTCGCCGCGACACAAATAGCGTATGATTGAGTGA